TACCAGGAAAGAACCGTCTGTGGCCTCGCCCGTAGGACGTCCTGTTGGAACACGAGGCCATATGGATCAAGACGGTGAGCCGGAATGGAACCCAGTAAACAACCTTCCCGCCAGATCATCCGAACTGGCGGGAAAGGCGTGGGACGTAGAAAAAAGGGGTCCCTTCATGCCAGCCGCCTCCTGGGTTACGCCGGGCAACCCCTGAGGGCGCCGTCGGCCGGGAGCAGTGTGATCGCCGATGCGAAACGAGGTGGGATGGGGTGAGCATTCACTCAGCCCCCCTTCACCGACACTACGCTCTCCAGGAGGGACTGAGCAGCGGGGGCTGCAGCTGAGCACGCCTGTCCCGGAGGAACCATCCGATTCGCTCCGAGGGTCAGCGATAAGAGTAAAATTACAAGATGGCATTGTCCAGCATGTAGTGACCTGTCACTGAGAAATATTCCTCGGCGCTTACCTTGAAATAAGACTGCTCGGCAGCTTCTCCTCGGGGAGGAGAACTCACCGGACGACCGGAGGTCGACTGCCGGGCCAAGCATCCTTAACAAAGGTTGGTCATCTACACAATTTTCCTTCTTTGTTCTTCTGACAGTGCTATTAGCTCGCTGAAGAAAAAATGGGAGCCGATTTCCCGCTCTTAACGTAATTTATACGGACCGGGTAGGGCCCACACAGCAGGTGGGTGTGGACTAAATTTTTTCAGTGCAATGCTACGCATAACAGGATAAACCCACCAAACGACAGCCTTAAAAGGCGAAGCTTATACGTGTAGTGAGTCACGTGAGATACGTGTCACTTTTGTAGTATGACAATATATCCCCGTTTATATGCATACTATATTCACGAGTTCTTCATCTTTCTGACTGTGTAATGCCGTGCATTGAATTTAAAGGAATGCGAACGAGAGACGTTATTATCTTTGACCCATCAAATGAATGGAATCATTTATTTTCAGAATCAAAGTTTAACATCAAACATTTACATTAATTTGGCAAAATATGAAAATAATAACAGACAGTTTCACAGAAAATGAACTTCAAATCACTCGGCGGTGATTTGAGGACTTTGCTTCAGATATTTCTAAAATATCTGTACTGATTTTGTGAGAGAGAAGAGTTTAAGATGAA